TAAATCCTGTTCTTTAAATTGCACAATTGTTTATTCTTGAACACTGGCAAGAGTGAGCAGCAAAAATTCACCCCATGCGAATGTAGATGTACATTTTAAACTCTGAGCTGAATAAGTCCAGCTATTAATCTTAGGAAAGTTAACTGATTTAGCAAGTAAACTAATATATGTAAGATCCAAGAAGGGCCAAATTATAAGTGATGTTATTAAATGTAGTAAACAGTAAAGATTTAAAAAGCAGCTTTTATTTTTTTAAGTATTATGTTTTAAATGGAAATGTTCCTCTTCATTTCAGTGGTAGTGTAGTGAACATACTGACCGATGTAAAATGAACTGCACCGTAAAACTGTAAACATTATCTAAACAGCTCAAGTCAGCCTTGACCAATATCCACAGTTCTAGCTTTTCCCTGAGGCAATTATAATCGGGAACTTGGTATTAAGCTGTACAAAGTCTTTAAATTCTTAATACATATTTTTATATAACTGTTGCTATACTGCTGCACAGTATCTCCTTGTATGGATATTCAATCGTCCATTTCATTTTTCCACTACAGATAAACATTCCGATTAACTTTTTTGCATGTCTATCCAATCAGTGCTGCAGTGAACAAGCTCCTCCATATTCTCCTTTGTACACATAAGCAAAGGTTTACCCAGAGTTGACAGTAAAAGGGCAAATACAAACTAAAAGTATTAAGAGGCTTGATTCTCCCTGTGGAAAATAAGGGAAGAGACTCTCCCTGCCTGTGCTCTCCCTTTTTCCTCAGAGTACTTACACTTGAAAACTTGTAAGTTCTTTCTCTGTCTCTTTGGAATGTATGTAAATCATTTTTAAAGCTAAATGTCTCTCACCAGCTTGCTCAAGGGCCTAGGAGCCATCTCTTTGAAATGTGATCATCAAGGAAGACAGGGTCCTGTCTCCCAGTTTCTGTGGGAGGGGGAAGCCTAACTTTGGTGGAAGCCTCATGCCAACTTGTAAAACTTCCTCCTGCCATAAAGACATAAGAAGTTTCTTTTTCCTTTGGATAAACTCAATTAGCTAATGCAAACGGTCACCCCAGTTATGAAGTGAATTGAAGATTCGCTATGTGTGAAAAATGGGGCTGATAAGCCCTCTTATCTGAGGACTAGTTATTGTGTACCTTGAGAGCACGCATGGAACGGGTCAGATCTGCTGGGCTATATGAAAGGGTAAGACTTCTTCCTGTTTTTACAATCTCTTAGCATATTGCCTGTGACAATCATGTTCTGGTTTCATGCTTATTCAATGATAAGTGCTTTCATTCTGGTCTAACTTTGTGGGGAGGTTTTCTGGGTTGGGAGGAGGTTGTGTTCTTAATTCTATTTCCCCATCAACAGCAGTTCCACTTCTAGGCAAGATGTGGACTAAAAGTGTAAAGTGAACAGCAACCCGTGAGGGAAAACTCAGAGGTACCTATCAAGACAGATCTAGTTAACAGCAGATTATGAATATCTATTTTCCTATATGTTCATCCAAATCAGAGATATAATCAAACTCATACATTTTTGGTGAATTTTCCTGGATACTAAGATTTGACACATGAATTGCCTCTTCTGTAAGTGCTGGTTTTACATTATTTGCTCATTTTTACTCATTGTCTTATAGAGTGCTTATTTTTATTATTTGACTTATTAATCCTCCCCCAACTGAATGAATTACAAATATTTTCTTTGCTGTGATTTGTAATAATTTTACTTACATCATCTTGCTATACGAGATATACTGATATAACCAATGTATCTATGTTTTCCTCTTTGGCTTTAAGCATTTGAGGATTTAAAGATTTTCTTAGCCCAACATCAAAATTTTTTCATACATGCTAAAGTTTTTGTAGTTTTATTTATTGTTTTCACACTCATTAATTTACAGATTGTATCATTTTGGAGAACAGTGTAATAAAGATATGACACAGAGATTATGACTTCCTTTTTCCAAATGGCTACACTGCTTGTAGGTTAGTCCAGACTGTCAGAACCCTTAGGTCTGAATTTTCTGCAGTGGACGAAAGTGAGTTTATTCTGCGGGTCCACTGTTTAAGGAGTTCAGACTTTTGAACAACACTGATTTATAAATGGAAAGGAAAATGGTATATTTTAAGCATGTTCATGGTTTATATAAAATCATAGATTTCAAACTAAATAACACTTTAACTATTGCTACCCACTCCACAGGGTTTTCAAAATGGACATCACCAGATTTTTTTTTAAAGCAGATTTCTGAGCTCCATTCCCAGAAAACTATTTAAGTTTGAAGTGAGGCTGAGGAGTTTTTATTAAGCAATTAAGTGAATAAGGAATATCAAAGTATTCTCTTCTTTCATTTAATCATTTATGTAGCTTACCCTTGTAGGGGAGCAAAATTTGCCACCCCAAAATATATCTCTTTGGCATGAGGATGACGTTAGGCTGATTATTTTTAAGAAACCTGAGACTCAGGAAGTCTTTTTTACCTCCCCCTTAACTGACTAAAAGAATTTAGACAAAGGGCCTGCTGCTTATTTCTGCACCTGAGATACCTACAAAGAACATGGGCCAGGTGTGGTGGGGCACTCAGCAGAGCCTGAAGACCAGATTCCTCTTTGTGTCCCACTGTCTCTGCATGGCAGAGCAAATACTTGTTTACCAAACATTTTCCATCTTTGAGTGAATTGCTTTCCTCTCCTTTGAAGTCACAAACCCCTACCCCCTTCTCTTTCTCTCAGATGGTAGATAAGCCTCAATTGCCCAACCTGTCCTTGGGTCTCATTTTTCTTTGGGGGCCCTGTATGTATGCAATTAAATTTGATTTTCTCCTGTTAATCTGTTTCATGTCAACTTAATTCTTAGACCAGCCAGAAGAACCTAGAAAGGGTAGAGGAGAAATTGTCCTTCCCCAACACCCTCACTTCAAGTTTCATGTTCAAGTTGCAAAAATAAATTATAGTGAGAATTTAGGAGTAAAGCAAAACAGTTACTCAGTTTTACTTCTAAAGTGTAGGAAATAATAAATAGAATACACTACCTCACACTGACATACAGAACCCTGAGTGTTTACAGAAAAAAAATTATTTAAGGTGCTGTCAATCCTTAAAGTTATTCTAAGAGAAGAAGACAAATATGGTAAAGATGGGCAAAGAAAGTGCAATACTACTGATTCTGAATCCACTGCTAAATCAATGTAAAAATGATGGATTTCCTGTAAAAAATAAAACTCAGTATTTGAAAAAAGAACATTCTGTCTTTCAATGACTACCTAGAATAAGCTTTATATTTCTAACATTTTGGTTTTGGCACAGATATTTCATAATACTTACACTATTGGACTCTGGAATTTAAAAAAGGTTAAAAAGTTGTACCTACTTTGTACCTAGACTAGAAAAAAATTTAAAGTATGACACATATGTTTCCTAGAAAGCAAGACTTAATGCCTGATTTTTAAAAACTTAAGAGGGTTGTATTAATTAAATTAGTATTACTTAAATCAGGGTCTGCTTTCTATTCCTTGGCCTCAGGAAAATCTGATTCTACAGAGAATACGTGTCCAAAGAGGTTAAAGAGTTGATTTACTTAAATATATAACACACAAACACATTTGATTCCTAGCCAAGGCTCAGGTTTAACATGAGAAGGGCAAGCTACATTTTATAGCCCATGATAGTTACTACTTATTCTCAGAGTTCACCTGTGAGAGCAAATGCAATTTGCTAGTTTTTTTTTTTTAATAGGATTTCTAGTCTTTTTTTTCCCCTGCTCGATAAATGTATAGGTATTTCCTATCCAAGTTCATACTTAATGTACAAGACCTCATTTTGCATTGTCTTTGGTATGTCAAAGATACTTTTAAATTTCCTTTGAAAGGGATAAGCTGGACCTTTCACATGATATCATTAACCCCCTTAAAAATAAAAGGCAAAAGTGAACAGACACAGATTTTTCTAAGCCAGAAAAGTATGCCCACATTACCTTTCTAGAACTACATGAATTCAAAACAAAAGTTGCAGTCAAAATATTTATTCTTTTCCTTAATTGGGTTAAATGACAATACAAATATTGTGAGCCTGCTTTGTTTCTCATGTACTATACTTTAAATGTTCAAAACTTTGTATAAAACCACACATGACCTAATTTCTTTCACAATGCCTACTATAGAAATCTCGATTTAACTGTATATGTTTTGAAATAAATTCTCTCCTTAACCATTATTATTACAGATTTGAAAAGGCTAGTTACAACTGCAACAGTAATATCTATCAGGCTCTTAGTTATAAACAAACACACAGGAAGAAGAAAGGGGAGAACGGACTAGGGAGAGAAAAGAAGAGATGTTCATTTATATTGTTTCCAACTGGTACCAACCAGATCAGAGTACCACTGTGGTGTGAGTGCTTCCTGAGTCATTAGGAAGGGGATTTTAATGTATTTAAGGGGAATAACCACATGTCACACTAGCCAGGACTAGTTAAATTACAATCTTTAAGGATAACAATTTTACATGAAGTACCAAAGTTTTGACTAGAAAAATAAATTGCTAAACAGAAACTTCCAGCTTTCTGTGGCTAAAAGGGTCTAAAAGCCTCCCTCGAACTTGAGGATAGGATACGGGAGACAAAAATACAGACTCATGAAACTATAGTGAGGTGGCAGGGAAAGTTTATTACCAGCCCAGTGTTCACACTGAAAGCCACAACTTCCAAGTCTTAACAAATCCTGAAGAACTGTCATTTTAAAAGATGTTAAAAAGGACATAAACATTATCCTGAACATGGTGGCAACAACAACAGAAGCCTAAGTGTTCACAGGTGAAGGGGCAGAGCCACTGGCGGGACTCCTTCACCCGTGTCCCCTTTCGTCACAGGCTCCCAAGGGTGCCATCCTTGTTATCTGAAGGCACAGCCCTGAAGATTCACAGAGCAGCATATCCACCATCCATGATCCAGTCTCAGGAATTTGCTTCCAACCGAATCAGGCTGCATCCGCAGGAGAGAAGCAGATGCTGAGTCAACAGCACTGGGATTTGTTCTCTTTTTTCACGGTCTCCTCATCCAGTTTAACTCTGCCGTCGTTTTCTTCATTAGGGAAGCTTTGGTGGTTGGCAAGAATGTTCTCCACTAGGAACCGGGATGCTTCATCTATGTTTATGTTATCCTGTAGTGCAGAAACAACCAGGATCAATTCTCACGATCAATATTCTTAGAGGAAAGCATTAGAGTATTACCAGGAACTAGGAAAGTTGGTCAGAGGGGGCATTATAAGTACGCCAGCTCCATCTCCTGCTCCAATACTGAAGTGTTTGCTAAGAGTTCAATGCTACTGAGTAATGTGACTGAGACACTCTTCTTTTTACAAAGGATCACTCTTTCTGATGTTCTGTTTTGTGTGTGTGTGTGTGTGTGGTACGCGGGCCTCTCACTGCTGTGGCCTCTCCCGTTGCGGAGCACAGGCTCCGGACGCGCAGGCTCAGCGGCCATGGCTCACGGGCCCAGCCGCTCCGCGGCATGTGGGATCTTCCTGGACCGGGGCACAGACCCGTGTCCCCTGCATCGGCAGGCGGACTCTCAACCACTGCGCCACCAGGGAATCCCTGATGTTCTGTTTTTTAATGTTTTAAACTTTTGCCACTGAGGTCCAATGAACTATCTCCATGGTAAATGAGTCTTCATCCTGCTGCAGGTTGCCAGCCACTTAAGTGAAAGCACAGAGATAAAAACAAAAACAAAAACAAAAATCTGCCCTTGAACATCTACTTCAAGTATTCAGGATACACTGTGGAAAAAAAATGCTGAAGGGCTCAAACCACATTAAAATATGATAAACGCAACATGCCGCTTCCCCATCTCCGAGTAGAAATTATGGCTTTTAGTTGACATGTATAAAATGAGCTGAAACAATGTTGTGGGTGTGATGCCCGTTAAGGATGCTCTAAGGAATCACCAGCTATCACAACATTTGTGTGACTGATTCATAAGCTGTCATTAAATATATGATATGTAACATATAGCAAAAACTGTGCTTCTTTTTAAAAGTATTTAACTTTTCCTTTTAAAATAATTTCAGATTTACAGAAACATTGTAAAAGTAGTAAAAATTCCTATATATTCTTCACCCATATTCCTCAGACATTAATATCTTAGGTAACCAGAGTATAACTATCAAAATCAAGAAATTACATGACAGTACTGTGCCAGCATTACTCTATCAACCTTGTTCGAATTTCATCAGCTGTCTCGCTGTCCTGTTTCTGATGCAGGTGAGCAGCTGTATTTCGCGATCTGTCCCCTTGGTCTCCTTGAATCTGGAACAGGTCCTCAGTCTCCTTGCCTTTCATGACCTTGACACTCTTGGGGAGTACTGGCCAGAGACTATCCCTCAGTTTGGATCTGTCTGATGTTTCCTTATCATTAAATTCAAGTCATGCATTGTTGGCAGGAATAAGGCACACATGATGTGTCCTCTTCAGTGTATGAGGAGGCATACTTGCTTGAAGTCATGTCTGCCAGCCTTCTCCACTGAAAAGTTACTATTTTTCACTTTGTACTCAGTTAGTACAAATATGTAAATATCCTGTGTTTCACCATACCTTTCCCTACTCATTTTGGCATCAATTAATTTTTCCCTAGGACAATTATTACTGTTGTGTTTAATGGTGACTTTCTATTTCCATCATTCCTTCTCCATTTATGATTTGGAATTCTACTGTTAGGAAGAGCTTTCTCTTCTCTCCCACTTATTCATTTGTTTATTCATATCATGGATTATTATTTTATTCTATGTATTAAGTCCATTACAATAATTATTTATTTTGTTGCTCCAATTGTCTTAGGTTTCGGAGCTCCTATAAGCAGGCTCCTGGGTCTTTTTGACGCATCTCCGTCACTTTGTGAGCGTTTCCTTAGCTTCTGGCACCACAAAATATCTCAGGCACATCTTTACTTTCCTTGTCCTACTAGTCCTGAAATCAGTCATTTCTCCAGGGAGACTCAGTTCTTTTTATTGGACAACAGTATTTAAAAACCAAATTCTAAGGACTTGCAAAGCTCACTGGTTCTGTGCTGCCATTGCTTCTAATCCTCTTCAGCAGACACACCTAGTAAATATGTATGTATTCATACACATATTGGTACCTGCTTCTATGTTTATCTGTTTACACATATACGTATGTGTATATGTATGTGCATGTGTGGGTAATGCACACACATATACACATTAATACAGAATTTATATATGTATGTGTGTATATATATACAGATATATTGACTTTTCCAATTCCAATCCGATACCACGAGGTTCATTCTAGCCTTCTCCCTTATTTGTTAATACCTTTCTCAGACAGTGAGGACTCTGCAAGACCTCTGCTATTTATTCAGGTATCTTTTCTAGCACCAACACAAACTTTTTTTTTACCTCCACTCCCAAGGTAAGCATTAACTTTAATTAAAGTATTGATCTTTAAATGCCCAAATGTCCCTCAGTCCCCACCATCTCCATTATACCAAATAATTATAATCTTCTCTTACTGCATTTAATTGTTATTGATTAGGAACAGAAAGTCCCACATTGTAGTGTAATTAGTCACACATTCTCATATTGGAAATCCATTATTTTCCATAAAGGTGAAAAGATGAAGCTCATGAATTCAAACTTGCCTTTTGGCTGTGTTTGTATCAGAATTCAGATCACTGGTATTCTAGCAGAAATCAGATTTGAAGTTAGCTGCTGGCCAGCTCAGAAGCATAGGTATTAGGACACTTGGGCAGTACTTTAAGCCTTGACTAAAATTTTTAACAAAAATTTTATATTACTGTTACTCTCTTGAAATACTCCTGGCTTACCACTAAGGAAATTTTGCAGAAGCTCTTTCTAATATATTCGTAGGAAGGCACAGAACATATGAATGTTTTTCTTTTGACCTCTACATGTAACCCTGTGCATAGATATCATGAAGCTGATGACTTATACAGTCTCAGGTGACAGGCCACATGATACTCTTGTTTATGAATCTTCCTTCTAGACTCTGGGGAGAAATTTAGATTTATTGCCTGAATGATTAATTCAAATAAAACCAGAGGAGGAAATTTTATCTGTAATATATTCATCTTCTCCACCAAATCTCATGCTCTAATAAACACTTACACGTACCACTCATTTTTTTCTGACAAAGCTGGTAAGTAAAGCAAATCCCCACAGATGCAGAGAGCAGACAGAGGGCATGGCTTCCAAAACAAGTGCCTCTATAAAAAGCCTTGCCTTCTGCAATCTCTTCCTTCCTGTGTGGCTAAGTGCTCATGCAGCAACTCTGGTCTTCATCTCTCTTCCACTACTACTTTTTATTTATGAAAATAAATTTTAAGATACTAGAATATATTTGTTTAAACAAATAGCCTGTAGCTTAGGAGTAAACACTTCTGTCTTCAGCAGACACTATTTCTTCCAATGACCCCACCATCACAATGTTTTCAGAGCACTTTTTGTGTAGTCTCCCATAGCTTTGCTTTCATTATTCTGATCATCAGTGGCAGCAATTAATCTTCCACTTTTAGGATGGGTTTCTGGTAAAGCTAAAAGTAACCTGGTAATAAGTAAGTAGGTCATTTGGAGAAACAATGCACTTTTTTTTTTTGATATATACAAGAAATTCACAGAAGGCATACTAAAAGCTGGAACTGTGTTAATATTATATTAAATTCATGGTTTTGACTTTGCCATCACAGAATTTTGTTAATAATTCATCATCCTCTCATGTCTGATTGTTATTGGACCTCTAAAGTGAAACTTCCAATGCACATAAACCCGCTCCAGCACAATATTTTGTGCTTGGTATTGTCACCTTTGCTTTCGTGTATATTTAGACTGTTTTTGTTTTTCTTCAAAAAACATTTTATCCAGCTTCCCATAATGGCTGAAAGAAAACATTCTCACTCTACTATTCATGAAGAAGTATGTCACAAAAGTTGATAATTTCCTCTTGTTCAAATTTTCCTACACATTTGATCTAAAACTCTTCAGACATCATCTGAATACATCTTCTCTCTGACCTTTTCAATGTCTGTGAGTCCTGCACACGACTTACATTTTCACTAGGGGCAACTATGTCCCTAAGTTTTACTAAGCCTTCTATAAAAATCAAAAATAGTTGTGCTTGACAAGATACCTCATACCCCACAAATTCCAGGTACATGAAAAGTACTTTATTTAAGGACTCAAACTCATAGAAAATGTCATTTGTTCTTTGCTCTAATAATAGTTGTTTTTATTTTAATGTAAAATCTGCCTTTCTATTCCCCTCTCCACTAGCCAATTCTGAAAGCATTCCTGCTGCTGAGTGAAAGAAGCTATAACATATCCATGCTACGCTTCACCTTTTACTAGGTTTCCAAAAACCACTCAGGTAAATCCATCTAAATACTTTAAAGTTACAGGTCAGATTTACGAATTAGCAGCAGAGCACATAACAAACGCACAGCAGACCTCACCTTTGCAGAGGTTTCAAACCATCCAGTGAAGCCATGTTCTTTGCAAAACTGGTCCATCTGGGGAGTATTCTGGCCACTGTCTTTTCTCTGGTCACATTTGTTAGCTAAGAGGACAGCAGGAA